ACATGTTGCCCTTGGCCATAGTCAGCATCAAGCACACATAATTACAGTATGTTTTCTTAAGAAAAAAAAAATGGACACATTGTCAGCAGAAATCACAAATTTATTAACTCTTAAATATATCAATCAGTCATTTACCATTATGGCAAGAAATATATACAGTGTCCCATGGTAAACTGCAGTGTTTCAAAATGATAGAAGATAATAAATGTATAATTCAATTGTGGTAGAGAGGGAAAAAAAATCACAATTTCTTCACATCTTAGTGTGGAAGATAAACTTGAACTACGGTATTACTTCAACACCACATGCTAAGTTAAAAGTGTAAAAAATAAAAACAAAATCAAAAACCACTCTACACCTATATATATTTAAAATACATGTATGTCATGTACAGCTGCTTCACAAAAGGTTAAAAGAAATTAAAAGGGAAAAAAATGAGGCTATTACTTTTTCACAGATCTCATTGGCAGGTTAACATGGCTCAATACATTTACTGTATATATTTATTTTAAATATATATTGTTTTAAATTGTGTAATAATTATCAGAAAAGCATCAATCCATCTACCATACATCCACTAGCAACAATATCTAAGGTAATTAGTAATCAACACAGAAAGGTGAAATGAGAGAAACAAGGGAGGGTTGTTTTTTACTTCTGCTTTAAAAATAGGCTTCTAAGGATTGTCAATTACTACCTTTAAAATAATGCTGATGACGACATCGTGCACTATAAAGCATTTTGGGGAAGAGAAAAAGTCTCACAGGGGTCGAATAAACAAAGGAGAAATGAGAAAGGTAAAGAAAATCTGGGACAGTTCCCTTTTCTTGTTGTTTTAAAATGGAAAATCCTAACTCCTTGCAGGAAGATGTTACTTTGAGACAAGAGAGAAGCTAAAAAAGCACAAGTTACAAAGAACAAGTTCAAAACACCTATAAGAAAGCAAAACATTCTCAGGCTTCTCTAACCGAAAACTAGCCAGTGATGGTGACAAGGGGGCCTCGCATTGCAGGAGGTGGAATTAGGTGCATTTGCACAAAACCTCGATCCGCTATCAATTTGGTATTCTCCTGGCAACTGTTCCAATCAGTAAGACATACTGCAGTTACAGTAGGAACTTGATTTTATCCTAAGTTTTAAACAATTCTGATACTTTCAACAGAAGATACCTAAGTCCAAACAAGAGACTAAGTAGAATTAAAAACCTTTCAAATCTTGACAAACTTTTGGTGGGCCCTGAAAATGATCAAATGTGCTAGTTTAACTACCTTCCAAAGACCTTGTTTTATTTTGCCTTTGTTATACAAATAACATGATTACTTTTTTCTCACAGATTACTAGCCCAAAAAAAGAAAGGAAGCAAACAAAATGAAAAAAGAAATAGGATAAAATGAATTAAACACAGCACAGATTTGAGAAAGGAGGCAAAAACTCAATTCAGCAAATTCACTGCAACAGTGTGAGTATATTCTAAAATGATCAAACAAGTAAATGATGTGAAATTTTCCAGTTTACACGGTTTGATAAAAAATTAAATGGCTTTAGATGTCACAAAAACACCTGATTCGTTTCCACACTCATAAGTGATTTTGTTCATATACCAACCCACTTTAATTGTTAAAACAGCAACAAAACTTTCAGTGAAAAAGTATCCATTTCAACCAGGATCACACCAGGAAACTGAAGATATTTTTTTGCATTTTGTTTTTTTACACAAACGAGCCAAAACAGAATAACGGCAAAGAGTTCTAAAAAATTTACATTTCTCTTACAAACTGTTATTGAGAGAACAAAAATGTTGAAGTCTGTTAAATCTTGGCATAAACAGAGAAACTTGATGAATAGGTTGTAGTTGGAATATTGTGGAATTTTAATTTTTTTGCATCTGACCTCCCTTCTACTGTTTGCCAACAGTAATTTAAGTTTACGAGGAACATCTCCATAGTTGAAGTGTAAACAATGAATAGGAAGGAATATATGACAAGATGATGCATCACATACGCATTACATGTAGGACCTTCACAACTTCATGCACTCAGAAACATGCATGAAGAGGAGGAGAGGATGGCCCAGGGTTACCATCCAGGTGCCTTGAAAATAGAGAATGTAGAAGTGGCACTGCTGATATTTAGCTGCAAGGAGAAAAGAGAGAGTGAGAAATAAATTATATTGCTTTACCAAAGTTCATCAAATGGTTTTGCAAGAGTTATGACCAGGCTGAATTTTATAACTCAGATAAACAGTAGATTGAAAATATTATATAAAAGAGATCTTGCAATCATTAAGAGAAAATACACAATATTAAACTGGAAAATTAGTGCTAATTATCTGTCAATTAGTTCACACAAAGGTAAGCTACAAATAAGAGACAGGAATCCAGGCTTCCATCACATTATTAAATCTAAATATACCTTTTAAGGGAGCTCTGGTGGCATAGTGCTTAAGCCATTTGAGTGCTAACCAGAAGGCTGGCAGTTCAAACCCACCAGCCACTCCTCAGGAAGAAGATTGGACAATCTACTTTTGGAGAGATACCACCTCAGAAACTCAATGAGGGGTCTCTAGGAGTCAAATCGACTCCATGGCAGTGAGTTTGTTTTTTGGCTTTAGGATACCTTTTAAGTATTCACATTTAGTAGACAAATAAGTGAATATGATTGCAGAGATGAAGTTGATTCAAAGTTTAAGTCCATCCTCATTAGCTTTTGTTGTTATTCTTTAACTCTTTGGAAAATCAAACCTAGAAGTCAATTTAATAATGGCTATGACCTCAAAGGTAGGAAAAACACAATTATTATTTAATTGGAGGTCTCCTTTCTTTAAATCAACAGCTGGGTGCATTATTTCCTAAAAGTTCTGATGAGGTTCAGTGCTTTGAATGGGGAAAATATTTATAATAGCACTGCTCACATATCTGAATCCTTCTAATTAAAGTTTAAGAAACAAATATTAAAAGACAACAACACAGGCATGAATTTAATTACAGCAAACTTTCAATTATCCTCTGGAATTACCTACTTTGTGAGTTTTAAATTTCAGCTTGACTTTCTCATGTGTGACCATCCTCATGGTCAAATACCATTATACTCAGCCAGGGACAGCAAATTAATTTACATATTAACTTTAGCTAATTGTGTAGCAGGAATTGCAACCTCTTGAAAAACAGTAAGGAACCAAGGAGCGCTAAAGCTTAATATAAATTAAGGAAGTATAATTGAGAGCTGTTTGAATTGACACAGACATAATTTACTTCTGATGTCAGAACTCCAGGATATTCTAAAATGGCATATCCATATGTTAAAGAAATGAACTTCTCAGTGCTCATTACCTTTAAAATAAAGATTATACTACATAAAGGGGCCAAACATTAGACTTAGGAGGTCATGCATAATGGCTATGAATTTTCAAAGACCATGAATGTTTTTCATGAATATAATGCAAGAGAAAATCTCTTCAAATGGAAGGAGAACAACCATGCAGTGTTTCAGTCATTTTGCTCCAATCACAAAGTATCAGAGCAGGATGCTACTTACAAGACCCATATGAGAATGGTTTTCAGGTCTTAGATGTTTTGCCACAAAGAGGTGTTTCCTGAGAAGTTTTCTTTCCCATTTGGAATACTGGATGGCCTATTAAGAGAAGCCCCATTTGAGCCACATGGCATAAAATGAAGTTTTCTTAAATAGGCTCTATTCCATAAACACTTCATGGAATTACAGGAAAATCTAACCCTCTAGTACTATATGAATGTAATCCCTTCTACATTAACTGGTAATTTGTGTTGCACCTCCATGGGGTAAAAAAAAAAAAAAAAAGCAACAATATACACATACACACAAAAATGGGTATCTTCATGATGTGCATATTCCTTTTTTCTTTCTCTAAATTACATAGCAACTGTTGTGAACTCGACTGCTATCCCTCCACCCTAAAATTTAACAGGTGTTCCTTGGTTAGAGAATTTGAAATGTGATCAGCTGTCCACTAACTGAGTCTCAACTCCCATTCTTGTTTTCATGTGACCTCATTTTACTGATGTAACCTTATTTCTCATTATCCCCTTTACTCCAGTTGGAGCTAGCCATCCTTATTCAAAGTCTTCTACCATAAATTCCTGACACTGTACTTTTCTTCATGATGTTCCTTGAGCTTGGACTACTTGCCCTTTGTTTTTCCTCTCTCTCTAAATTTTACTCATCATGTAAGAGTTTGTCCTAAATTTTTCTACTTTCTCACATAAAAGGTACTTCCAACAGTTTGCTACATTTGTAATTAATTCCACTTTACTCTCAAGTTGATTATAAACTTTATTCTACAGATTTTTTTTTCTTTGGTATCACCAATTAGATGCTTTCTCAACTAAAATGTATGTTCACTGAAGCAACTCTTTTATCTCATACTGTATTTGGCACAGGGTAGGCATCTAGGAGATGCAAAAAATATGTCTAATTTATTTGTTTAATTATTGACTAGGAGAGCAAACATAACATCTGAAGTAGAGTGGCACAGCATAAAAGACATGGAAATACCAGATATTTGTTTCTGAAATGCTGTCTTTCATAATTTTGCCTATATCTGTCACTAAGCCTCAATAGATACTCTATGAAATAAAGCTCCTAATATTTGGGCAATCCTACTTCCGTAGTGATACTGCCTTGGAAACCCAAGGAGGGGTCGTTATGAGTCGGGGCCGACTCGACGGCACATAACAACAACAATATTTTATTGGCCATTTTAGAAATTCCTCTCTAGTCTTTTCTGCCACATTCCTTTCCTCTGCCAATAGTGACAATAAAGCCACAAATATTTTGCCTTATTATCCAAATCCTTCCAATTTAACCCTAACAGAAATCAATTTGATTGGGCATCCTCTAGTTGCCATCTGAAAGTACTTCATCCCGCTCGATGCCAAGTTTCCCACAAATGCCTGGTCTGACTGATCTTCCCAGAGAACTGTACACAGTTTAACACCATGGCATTCAGTCCCACCAATCAAGTTGACTACTCGCATTAAATAACTTATGCCATGCTATTAACAATGGAATAAACAGAAGGAGCTGACCATGGGTATATTAACAAAGAAGCTGACAGCCTGGGAATATTTACTTGATGGGTACTGTTGGCGACCCTGAGCGATGAAAATGAACATTCTGCCACTTTCCATCCCGGCGGTGCCAGACGCGGGTCTCTTCTGACTGCATTGTCTTTGGCATTCCACTGCCATCCATGTACTGTGTGAGCCTAATATAAGCTATGCAGGCAGCATCATCGCCTACCAGATGTACATGAGGGTTTAGGATGATAGTGTGGATTGGTTTGTTGCTCTTGGACAAAGCTGAAAGACAACAGCATGAAAAGCAAAATTTAGTCACTATGCAATAAAGTAAACTAAGTTAGAATAACAAGTTGGGACTAATAAATATAATGTCACTCATTCATTAAACTACCAAGTATTTGCAATACCTGCATACCAGGTATGTGCAAAGTCTAAAGGATAAAAAGAAGACAAAAGTGGATACAGTCTTTATTTTCTCTGATTCCATTTGTAGGCAATTTGTATGCCACTCTGGAACTTTCATTGACTGGGGAAAAAAGCTGAAGAGATGTACTTATGCACAATGGGAAGTGGTTAGAAATAGAAAGCATAATACAAATAGTGGCAGAGAAGGCTTGCCCCAGGTGCAAGGAGTGGTTCCTGTCTTTTCAATGGACAAACCACTAAGGCGCCTGACAGGATAACCTGTGGCCTTGTTAGTTTTGTTGCTTGGCTGGTAAAGTACATGGGGCAAGAGAAATACAGTATATCAAATACAGTGAAACCTGTGAGAGTTAGAACTGGATGGGGCTGCTTTGTTTTTCTAGTCACACAAGTTTTCTGCCTTTGACAAGGTGCAGTCTTACCAGTTTTTCATTGGTCCTTTTGGTGGAAAATATTTGAGTTTTCCTTCTCTGACAGGTTTCTACCTTACACAGATCTTTCACAGGTTTTACTGTATCAAGCCTAGAGACCACTGTCTCCAAAAAAGGCTGGTCATGCCATCAGTTAGTTTCTACACCTCTTTCTGTACTCTGTAACATAACAGGTTCCATTCCATGACAGTTGTGTGGCCATCCAGTAAAACCCAAAGTTGGTGTTGGTTATATGGCCTGGTCCTGATCCTCTACCTTTTCCCTCTGGCTGACTAACTCACTAGGCTCCAGCCTCTGATGTTTTGACAGTAGCTACTCATTCTAATTATTTAATAATAAAGATTTGAGAATTTAGTGCAAATTACTTATTATAATGACATTTCTCTCTTGGATTCCTAGAACAAGTGGGATTGTTTTAGCTGTTATCCAAACATGCTTCCCCTTCTCAGAAAAGATCTATTCACATTACCTAGTGACATAGTCATATATAAAAAGGCTGCCCACCATGAAGAATAACTAGCTATAGAAAGCAATAGTGTTCAGTGTTACACTGAAATAGGTTAAAATATTAATGGATTCATTAATCCTTTTACCAGGGACAAGATGGTGTCAGCTGCTAGTCAGCTGAAGAAAAGAACTTGATAGGATCAGAGTGCTGGGATACAAAGAATATGATATTTAATGAAGCTTTCTTAAGGCTAATTTATCACAAAATCTTTTTTTGTTCATTTGTTTGTTTTCAAAATCCTAGTGTACACAGGAAAAGGTAATTCATCAAATATATCTTAAGTTATAAACCCATGCCAAGGCAGACATTCTTGTTGATGCTTATATTTATTGAAAGGGAGCCTGATGGTGACAGCATTACTGCTATTCCTCTTTAACTCACTGAAATCTCACTGCTACAAGAGTTCACTCTCTGCATCATCTGAAAGCAACACAATGCCTAATGCTTTTAGTTGTAGTAAGAAAAAGAAAGATGAAGGGAATTCTTGGTTTAAACTATTCTTGATGACCTGGAGGATTTTGCAGGAGGAAGTTTCTTCTGTCATCTTCTTTGAAATAAGGCTCTTTCCTCTGAGCCCCTAAAATCATCTAATTGAACTGAAATATGTATCATATTGACTCATCTGCATTTTACTTTGTAATTAAGTACCAAATACGTTTGAAAGCACTGTTCTCTATTGAATGTTCTGGCATTCTGTGGTTTCTTTTATGTTTTCTTATAAAGTGTTTATGAAAAAGTTACATTTTGGTAACTTGTTTTGCAGCTTATGTCCTGTAATTCACTGAAACTTAAATGGGGGATATTTAATCAACATTATTTTTTATGAAAATAAGATATTTTCCAAAGGCAGAAAAAGTTTATGCCTGTCATTTTTTGCTGTGGTTTTCTTCAAATTATCTATCTATGTACCTATCTACCTGCCTACCTACCTATGGTGTAAAATGTTGTGCTAAGATAAAAATTTTCACTGCAGTAAGGAGCCAAAGGACCTGCAAATTTGGGAGAAATTCAAAGAGAAGCTGGAAAAGACATGTTACTAAATTAAAATAAATATACCATTTTCAAAGTAGAATCGATGAAAGTCCATCCCTTCCACTAAATTACCCAATGCTTCGGGTTCAAAAGCAGTAAGGCCTGGATCACAGATTTTTCTGAAAGAAGAAAAATAATCAGAACAATCAATAAATAAATGAGTTAGTAAATTTTGCTGTTTTACATGCTTTCATTCTTATTTATCAAATAGTCAAGGAAGGAAAGGTCTATATACTAAATACAAAATTTTTTGTATAAGCCTGGGCAAAATGGATGAGGAAAGACTCTAAAAAGGCATTTTGAAAGACTATGATATAACCAGTTCAAGCAGATGCTAATTTATCATACATTAGGATTCTCTATTTTATAATTTCTTTCTTATTTCTCAAGTAAATTCTTTACTTTTTCCCCAGTCTTTCCAAATCATGGCTTCAGTTTATTATTTTCTTTGAAATGCTCTCCAAATGCTACAAAATCATCTTTGGCTGTGAAATTAAATATTTTGGGATCATCACTGATGGATCACACTTTCTATGCTCACGTCAACATCTATATTACAATCAGTGGGAAGGCAGGCATCTCATCTTACACTCCTGGCAGTGTCTGCCACATTTAATTTAGCTTCTGCTTAAAGATGATTTATTTATTAAAATAAAATTAATATGAAGTTCAAATGTACATATTAGTGTTATTTTTAATTCTAGAAGTATGATTCAATAAATGGGTATACCATTTTTTAAACTCAGAGAAAGCATATGGGTTTTCTTTGGAGAAATTATTTAACAAGCATTTCTTAAACATCTACTACATAGCATGTTTTCTTTGAAACAAGTATTTATAACACAATAATTTATACTGAAATAGAAGTAAGTACAAAATGTGTGAAAAGCATGTTATACATAGAAGTAATGATTTAAGAGAGAAAGAAAATTTGAACTGGGCTTCTTTCTATGAATGAGGAGGAGCTCTGGTGATACAGTGCCTAAGGCATCTGACTGCTCACCAGAAGGCTAGTGGTTCAAACCCACCAGCCACTCCTTGGAAGGAAGACTGGGCAATCTACTTCTGTAGAGATACCTCCTCGGAAACCCAAGGAGGGGTCACTATGAGTTGGAATCGACTTGACGGCAGTGAGTTTTGTTTTTGTTTTTTATTTTGGTTCTCTGAATGAGTAGGAGTTTTTCAGGTTGCAGAAGGTGGTGGGCAGGAACAGGGTATGTTGTTGGCTGTGTCCATTGGGTCCCTGACTCATAGTGGTCCCAAGCACTATGGAATGAAATGCTGCCATCTCCACAACTGGTTGAAGATCAGACCATTGAGATCCAGAGGGTTTTCATTGGCTGATTATTTGGAAATAGATTACCAGCCCTTTCGTCCTAGTCTTAGTCAGGCAGTTCCACTGAAGCCTGTTTAGCATAATAGTAACACACAAGCCCTCACTGACAGGTGGGTGGTGGCTGCACATGAGGTTTATTGGTTGAGAACTGACACTGGGTCTCCTGAATGGAAAGCAAGAATTCTACACTGAACCACCACTAATACACCCCTGCCCCCGAGCACCACCATAGAAATACAGGGAAGAATATTTCCTTTGGCCTGTGGTGATTAGGGTAGGCTTCTAAGAGAAAATGACATAAAATGTGCTTTGAAGATTTAGGAGGAGTTCACAAGTAGGTAAACAGAGTAAAAAGTGAGAGATTTTTGGACTGTATTTATTTGTCCCAAAGTGCAATACAGTGGAAGGAGCTGCATATGACTTTATATGGAAATTCTCCATTTGGAAGGCAAACATTTCTTAAATCTTCAACAAAAACAAGTTTGAAAAAGCTAACTCACTATGACTCTTCAAGTACAACATTATTTTTAGACTGCAGAACTAATGCTTTATAAAGTGGTTATCTATTGTGGTAATGAAAGCCACAGGTAAAAGGCAAAAGGGAGGAAGGGGTGGATTATAAACTTTGTCTTAGACTGTCTGGTGGGCAGGTATATTTAAACTCAAAGATAAATACATATAATCTTTTTCTAAGGAGCAAAATGGGAAGAACAGGGTTTCTATGGTAACAGCACTTTATTCTGCCATGGGTATTATTTCCTCTAGAAATAATGGTTTTTCATTGTCAACATCAGTAAACCAAAATTTCTTATTGCCTTATATTAGCACTAAGATCATCCAAGAATCACTGCATTATAATGGATCTTTTTATAAAACCCATAGAAAAGTCAATATATTTGAAAGCCTGTTAGTCTGTTCTATTTCCCTCTGTCTCTGTTTTTCTCCTCTACAATTTTATTTGGATTAATAAAAATTCAGAAAACTGCCACTTGGCATATGGGAGTGAGTGCTCTGAACAGGTGTTCAAAGGACCAGCTGACAGAGCTATACCAATATACTCTACTATACAAAAAGTTCCCAAATGGATTATCCTGGGGCCTGAAAGTACAAAATCAGGCTAGATTACAGGTCTTAATAGGTAAAGGAATTAATAAACTGATATGCTCCCAAAGAACAGCATTATTTAACATACCATACCATAAACTGAGAATACAGAAAATGCCCCATTTTTGCCTGGCTGGAACTGTTCCCCACTACTGAACTGAAAACAGCAACAAAAAACAAAACAAAAAGCAACAACAGCAGAATACACTATTTACCATTCCACAGGGGAATGTTACTGCAAAAAGAGATTTAAAAAAAAAAGAACAGTAATTTTATGCTTTGGAAAATCAACTAGTTCTAACAAGGTTTTATCAGCAAAAAGAAGAAAAGAAAAGAGATGTAGTTTCTATGGCACAGTTCTAAATAACCGTTTAAAAGAGAATTGTTGCCTCTGACAACAAAGAACATTCTTTTAAACTTCATTCTTACTATCTTTTATTCCAAGTATAATTTATTAGGCAGTGTTAAAAAACATGATACACAAGCATATGTATACACGTATGAATACATGTGTGTATGTATAGGCATACGCATTTTAATTTATAAGTGCTCTTGGATTTAATTAAGTTTTAACTTTAGATACTTCCTTCTGTATTTTGCATTTGGTTATCTATTTCTAATTAATAACAAAAGTGATACCTGCTTATTATATAATGTTTGGAAAGAACAGGAAAGCAGCAGGAAACACACATATATATACACACACATAATTTCACCTCCCAGAGACAATCTCTATTTTTTTCTTTTATTTAAAACAAATTTGGCATATTTTATCCCATTTTTAATGCTTTTTTTCTTATATAATTGAAATGATTATATATATGTTATATATATATACACACACACACACATTCAATTTTATATCCTGCTTGATTTTCAGTAAATGCATCATAAACATTTCCTGAGATTGCTAGAAACTCTGTATAAACATCCATTTTTGCCAAAGGCACCAAAAATTACTTAACTGTTTGTTACCTCATAAACATGTTGGACATACAGGTTATTTACATTTTTAGCTATTATGAATATTGTTTCAATAAATAACTTTGTTCAGAAACCTATCCATGTTTTAGATTCATAATTTGTGCTCATGTTAAATTATTATAAGTAGAATTATAGGATTGTGTAAGTATGAACTACTTTACAAGTTTTCCGGTACATGGTAAACTAACTGCCCTTGCCTCCCCCATCACCTCAAAATGCTGCTCTCATTTACTGCCATATATTTTCACCCAGTTGTACAGGAAAGCCATCAGGTTCCTGCAGTATCTGTACCTCTCTGGCTGTCAGCAGAGTCAGCCTCCCTGGTTGTCATCTCTGTTGATCTGACAGGTGGAAAATGCACTTGTATTCAAATTTTCAGATATTTAATTAGTGGGCGTAAGATGGTTTTATAGTCTATTTGCCATTTATATTAACTCATTTGTGAATAGTCATAATTCATGTCCTTTGCCTGTTTTTTTACTTTTCAATCAATAGAAACTAAGTATGCCACATGCTTTACAAATATCTTTGTAAGCTGTCTTTTAGTTTTATTTTTTATGCTTTTATTAATCTGTACAAATTTTATACAATTAGGTAGTCTAATCATTTTATCATCCTCATTTGTGATTACAGGAGCTCTGGTGTATAATGCCTAATGCATCTGACTGCTAATCAGAAGGCTAGCGGTTCAAACCCACCAGCCATTCCATGGAAGGAAGGTTGGGCAATCTACTTCCGTAGTGATACTGCCTTGGAAACCCAAGGAGGGGCCGCTATGAGTTGGATCCGACTCTACGGCAGTGCGTTGTGCTATTTGTGATTACTTCCTCTGATTTTAAACTTAAAAATACTCAAAATTCAAATTCAAATCTCTTTTTGGCAAGTATCTATTTCATTTATATGGAAATCACTGTGTTATGTAAAGCAAGGGAAAGTTTAGACTGATTTTTATCTCCAAACAGCTAATTTATTGACTCACATCCTTTGTGCAATAAGCCTTCATGCCTTCTATATTTGAATGCTTTAATTATAATTCAGCCAAGTAGTTTCATTTATATACCCCAAGATCTAGTACTTTATTAACTTTAAATCATAGTCTCTTCTTCAAATGAAATTTTGCTCAAGAGAAAAATATGTAAAAGAGATGGGGATAAAAGGCAAACTGTACTGGCTGAAGAAGTATAGGACTGCCTGACGTCACCCCATAATCTCCTTTCTCTGTCCCAGCACCTTTGCAGAACCATGGAGAAAAACAAAAAACATGTATTACACCACTATACTTTTGTGTGCTTCCTTGTGTCTTTGCTCACATGGTTTACTCTTCTGGGCATTACAAAGATATCCCCAATCCTTGGATCAGAAGCAATGTCTCCTTTCTTTGACATCTCAAATAAATGCATTTCCCTCCTTGGGGACACTTAGCCATTTTTACCTGAAACAAACCCATTGTTGACATATCAAGCCTGAGATTAAATATACATGAATTCAGGTACTTAGAAGAATCCATTCATACAGAAAATATATCTGACACATTCATCAAATCAACATATGTGTGCCTATACTCACGTGTAAGCTTCAAAGTCCCCATTGTTGATTGCTTCGATCAGTTGCTCAGTGACTTTGATAATCTCTTGTTTTCGTGCTAAAGGCAAGGATACAGATTTGGGTGAGAATAAAGGACAAAACGTATGAAATACCATTTTAAGAATATTGTTAATTTACGTAAACAGGGTATTGCATGGTATTAAGACACATCTCTCACAGAAGTGAGGTATTATTCTTTCCACAATCTAGCTGGTTAAGGTGCACAGATCAGCAGTAACCATGTCTTATAGGAGCCTTTTAGGAATACAGATGCTCAGACATACTTTAGACTCAGATTCAGAATCTGTATTTTAGCAGGATCTTAGGAAATTTCAGGGCACATTCATGTTTGGGAAGTAGTGCTACATCACTGATCACTGGGGCTTTGTAAATGATTCCATTTGTTAGAAAATAACCATTGTCTGCAAGATCATGGTTATATTTTCTGAATTAGTTCTTACTAACTTTATCAACTTCATTGAGCTTGTGAACACTTTTTGTCTTAAGCTTAACAGATGTGCTATTAAAAAGAATCTTCAAAAATATCAGTCTACTGATATTAATATATCCTACATATATTATTTCAGAGTAAAGATGATATAGTATATTGAGATATTTAACTTTACATAATTATTTGCATCTCCTTATGGTTCAGCTCAACCAATTATGAAAACCAAGGATAACAGCTCTGTAATTGGCTACTATGCATAGATAAATGGTCTTCAGTAAACTCTGTAAATTGGAAAAGTGACACTTAAATCAGTACTGTGAAAGTAGGCAGATAATCTGAAGGAATCCAGGCTGTGTAAATGTCAACACCACATCAAACACTATTTGTTTTATTCTTAGGTTAAAATTGGTGAAATGATTAGTAGTTGACTTGGCTCAAATCTTACCTATTAAATTTTGATTACATTTGCCTCAAGTGCTCTTTCCCTTTTTTGGTGACAAACAGTTTGCCTTCGATTGCTAACCTAAAGGTTGGTGTTTTAATAACCCACCTAGGAGTACTACAGGAGCTCTGGTAGCATAGTGCCTAAGGCACTTCACTGCTAACCAGAAGGCTGGTGGTTCAAACCCACCAGCCACTCCTCGGAAGGAAGGTTGGGCAATCCTACTTCCGTAGTGATACTGCCTCGGAAACCCAAGGAGGGGGTCACTATGAGTCGGGGCCGACTCGACGGCAAACAACAACAACAACAACAGTAGTACTACAGAAGATAGGTCTGGTGATCTGGTTCTGTTAAAAAATTACAGCCAAGAAAACTTTATGATGTAGTTCTACTCAGTATACATGGGGTCAGAATTGACTCAACAACTAACAACAACACAGTGTCTGTACCATTCACTTGGCAACTATGTTTAAACTATTTGGCTGTTAACCACAAGGTTGGTGGTTCAAAACTACCAGCTGCTCCATGGGAGGAAGGTGAGACAATCTACTTCCGAAAAGATTTATAGCCTTGGAAACCCATCGAGGGTCACTATGAGTTGGAATTGACTTGATGGCAGTGGGTTTGGTTTTTGGTTTATAACCAATAGCAAGATACCTTTTGTTGTTGTTGTTAGGTGCCATCGAGTTGTCTCAGACTCTTAGCGACTCTAAGCACAGCAGAACGAAACACCGCCTGGTCCTGAGCCAGCTCCATGATTCTTGCTATATTTGAGCCCATCGCTGCTGCCACTGTGTGAATCCATCTCATTGAGGGCCTTCCCCTCTTTCGTCGACCCTCCACCTTACCAAACATGACATCCTTCTCCAGGGAATGGTCCCTTCTGACAACATGACCAAAGTATGTGAGACAAAGTTTGGCCATTCTTGCCTCCAAGGAGCATTCTGGCTGCACTTCCTCCAGGACAGACCTATTAGTTCTTTTAGCAGTCCACGGTACTTTCAGCATTCTTTGCCAGCACCACAGCTCAAAAGCATCAACTCTTTTTTGGTCCTCCCTATTCATTGTCCAGCTCTCACATGCATATGAGGTGACTGAAAATACCACAGCTTGTGTCAGGTGCACCTTAGTCCTCAAGGAGACATCTTTGCTACTTAGCAATTGAAAGAGGTCATTTGCAGCCAATTTGCCCAGTGCTATACATTGTCTGATGTCCTGATTGCTGCTTCCACTGGCATTGATTGCAGAACCAAGTAATGTGAAATCCTTGACAATTTTAATCTTTTCTCCATTTATTGCAATGTTGCTTATAGGACCAGTTGTGAGGATTTTTGTTTTTATATTGAGATGTAATCCATACTGGAGACTGTATTCTTCAATCTTCATCAGTAAGTACTTCATGTCATCCTCACTTTCAGCAAACAAAATTGTGTCATCAGTGTATCGCAGGTTGTTAATGATTTTTCCTCTAATTTTAATGCCACGTTCTTCTTCATGTAGTCCAGCTTCTTGGGTCATTTGCTCAGCACACAGATTGAATAAGTGTGGTGAAAGGACACAACACTGCACACTCCCTTTTAGATTTTAAACCATGCAGTGTTCCCTTTTTCTGTTCGAATGAGAGTCTCCTGGTCTATGTACAGGTTCCTCATGAGTACAATTAAGTGTTCTGGAATTCCCATTCTCCTCAATGTTATCCACAATTTGTTATGACAGACACAATCAAATGCATTTGATTGTGTGGATCATAACAAGATACCTTTAGTTATCCCAAATTATTACTTGTTTTGAAACTTTATATACTCTGTAACCTGCCATCCATGTTTAAAAACAGCTCTGTGTGGGCGAAGAACAGGCTCCTTCTGTGTCTCTGCTACAAAGCACTGTTCAATATCTTTAATAAATAGATGCTCAGTAAATTTGTCAGTTTGATCAAATAATATTAATGACAACTATTTCTTGATTTCAGAAAACTATTCTCTCAGGAAATACTGTGAAATTGTTTAAAAAGTAAAATTTCATTAAATTTTGTTTTAAGCACACTGTGATACTCCATTAAAATCACTGGAAACAGGCTGGGGGATCACAAACGGTTACTTCCAATCTATTTTAGAGGCAGTGTGGATGCCATTCATTATGGAAAAAGCTGAAGTCTGCTCTAGTTCTGTATCAATTAATGCTAACCAGTTTGCTTTTTTTTTTTTTTTTATGAATTCAATCTTCATTAAGCAGAGTTCAAGCATACCTAAATGTTTAAATCCATTTAAAACTCCCAGTTATGACATTCCTTATTTAAAATAAATCTTCTGTAAATCTAATCTTGCTTAATTGAGACTGTATGAGACTACTTCATAACAAATCCAAGTTACAGATTATCTACTATTAAATTTGGCCATAAAATGGTTGTAAATAATGTCAAGCTCTATAATATAGAAAATCACCATATACATTAAAATTCATATTTAATTACCCAATTACCTTTTATTTATATAGAATGTTTTTTTAGTTATTAATGTACACATCTACACATAACATTTCTTGCCTTCATTCACCTGATTGATGGATATCCATAATATATACAACATCAAAACATACTGATAAAGGTAGTAGCAGTGATAAAAGTAGTAGCAGGGAATAATTTTGTAATAGGGATGCTGCCAATGGCATGTTTTAGCTTAATCCAGTTAGCCAATACGTGATTCATCTGTCTGGTGAAACGGTATGAACATTTGGTGAAAGCACAGGATAGCTGACCTAATTCCTGAATATAAAGGATATCAGTGAGGAAGAGTCAGAAAATGAGATTAAGAAAATGTGGCTGTCCAAAACTTCCTTCCCATATTACAACCTAGTTTAAAATTGTTTAACCATTTTTCCGTAAGCTATATGGTTTGACAGGAAAAACTGCAGTTTAACACAAAGCCAACTTCCTTTAACAAAAATGAGGAAAAACAAAAAATGGAACAGAAGATCAGTGCTTCTTGTATGGCTTTATTATGTTAACACTCATTTAATACAACGTGAAACGTTCAGAATCACTTTCTGAAGTTCTGCCTTCTCTTCTAAGTATAATATGGAATTAGAAATGGGGAGTGTATGACCACTGCAAACTCACTGCCCTCGAGCTGATTCCATCTCATAGCGACCCCTTGGGTTTCTGAGGTGATATTTCTATGGAAGTAGATTGTTCAATCTTCCCTCTGAGGAGTGGCTCGTGGGTTTGAACTGCCAGCCTTCTGGTTAGAAGTTAAACGCCTTAAGCACGATGCCACCAGAGCTCCCGAAATACTCATTAGCTCTTAAATAGTTTACATGACACAACAGGCTTAATTTTTGTCCTGCATAACTAAAGTAACACAAATTTCCTTTTCTCTTCTTCCTATGGTCTGAAACAATGGTGCTTTAGCTGGCAGCACTGTTATTGTTATGTGCCATCGAGTCAGACCCGACTCATAGAGACCCTCCTTGGGTTTCCGAGGCAGATCACTACAGAAGTAGATTGCCCCATCTTCCTTCCGAGGAGTGGCTGGGGGGTTTGAACTGCCAGCCTTCTGGTTAGCAGTCAAGTGCCTTAGGCACTATGTCACTAAAGCTCCTCAATATCTGTAATTTATATTAATCCTAACACTTATGTATTGGTATATATTGTCTTGGAAGGA